TTGTATCAGTGGTAGAAACTTTGCAAAGAACCTTGACAAAGAAACCCAGGAAGCAATTTTTTTAAAATATATTACTCCAATATAAAGCCCAGTGACCCAGAATATGTGTCCTGAAAGTCGGAGCCCTGATTTTCCCGGTTGGCAGAGTTATCATCTGGGCCTTTACCTCCTTCTGAATGGAGACCCTCCCAAAAGCGCATTTGCAGATCTGAGTGATTCTTCTTCCCATTCTCCCACTTTTCCCCAAAAGGTGAAGGAAAAGGGACTGGTTAGGGACTCAGTTCAATTCCTTGAGTGACCAGCAAGGATGAATGGCAACCTCATACTTCCCCCACTCTTCACCCACACAGCATAGATTCTAGTACATTCTCCCTCTTCCTCGTGGGGAATGGAAAAAACTATTTTGCTCTTGGGGATGACTCTTCCCTGTTGCCCTCCTCCCCAATTCAGGCCCACCATAGAAGGAGGAATTTCTGAAGTTGAAATCATCTCCCAACAAGTAGACGAAGAGACCAAGAGCATTGCTCCAGTGCAGCTGGTGAACTTTGCCTATCGGGACTTGCCCCAGGCTGCCGTGGACCTCTCCACGGATGGCTCGCAGCTCCTGTCAAATTTGGACGAAGATTACCAAAGAGAAGGGTAGGTGTTGGAACCGCTGAGCTAGCTAAGAAGTCTCTTGAATAACTCCCTGGGTTTCTATGGGTACCTCCCTCGAAGCAGCAGCAGAGATTAGAGGTGCTAAAGAGTAAGAGACCAGAAGTTCACATCAGTCCACAGAGGCCCTTTCTCTCCTCAGACATGATTTCCTCCAAAAAAGGCTTTGGGCACAGAGAATACCTGTTGCTGCTACACAACCTCCTGTGTGACATTTACTTGGAACTCAGAGAATCATAGAATTTATTTTAGGACTGAAGTGCTCCTTAATGATCTGCTCAGCCCCCTCTCTGTACACAAGGGAAACAGGAGACCCACAGGGATTAGGGATTTGTTCAAGGTCACAGAGCCCATAAGCAGTGGATTTGGACTGCACTTACCTTTTATCAAGCTGATTCTCACCGGGGGAAAGACCGGGAAGAAAACAGTCTGCATGCAGTTAACATGCTAAATATGTAAGGGAAATCTGTGGGCATTAGCTCCCTCTTTTCCCTGGATACTGGGGGAAGCCACCTGGGCTGGACAGGCAAGATGACTGGCTGACTTGCAGCA